AATTATCATGTGTTGCATTGTTTATGATTGCCACTGGAGTTAATGAAGTATCTAATTATAATATAGAAAATGGTACAATAGCGATAGATCGATATTAATAATATAGATACTATTATACAGTTCATATTTAATATGTAAATGTAATGCTTTATCATGCATTCAAATAATTCTTTTACATGTTACATGAAACTACCAGCTTTTTTAATAATGCAAAAATTATTTAAAATACAAAACTAATTTTATGTTTTGGATTTTAGATTCTATAATACAAAATTATTTAATTAGGTTGGCATCAGATTAAAATCTGCATCAGGTTAAAATTTAAATGTGAATTTTTTAGGGTTTCTATATTAGGCATTTAGCGGAATTATCCTTAAACTGTTTGAAATTTGGGGCAAATTTGCACTGATTTTACTATAAAAATACTTCTATATTTTAAAAAAATTAATATATTTAATTGAAATTTTTTTAATAAAAATTAAAATAAGAATTATATTGTTGTAAAATTTATATTTAAAATTACAAGAAAAAATTTAACTTACAAATAAACTAAATATATACAAATTTTAAAAAATTCAATTAAAAAAATATTTTACATTTTTTGATAAACTCTAGATATTAATTTAGATCTATAGTTTTTTAATAAAAATTCTAATTTAAATAAAGGATGTTAATTTTTATTATTATAACTTTTATAATTTATTTGTAAAAATTAAGGCTTGTATTAAAATAAAAATATTTTTATAGATGAAAACATATAGAATTTTGAAAAAATTAAAGAAAATTCTATAATAAAAAGCTCAAAATAAAAATTTTAAACTTATTTATTTCCTTCAAGTATTTAATAAATTTAAAAAATTTTTCTTAATAAAATTATTAGAATATATTTAAAAATATATTTTTTACTTAGAAAGTATAAAGCTAAAAATAATATTTAAAATTGTATTTAAAAATAATTTTTTTAAAAAAATTTCAAGGCAAATTTGCAGGAGAAACGGTTCAAGGGATAGGCTTTAATCTGACGTAGAGATTGGACCCGTTGAGAAAATCTCTACCCGGGTATTATTAAATTACCCGGGTTATCCGGGTAAGTTATTATAATCGTATAGTAACAATTTTTACCCGGGTCCAATCCCTAATCTGACGCAGATTTTAATTCGACACACAACATATTTATTGAAATCGACATTCATGTCTTGTGAAGCAGCTGTAATTTATACATTGACCTTACACTATACCTTCTAATTATTCATGTCGGTTTAGTTAATGCGTATAATTTTTCGGCATCAAATTTGATTAAGTGATTGCTAAGATATCATCATTAAATCACACCAGTGGTGTTAAAAACTACAGTTGTTATATCTCAAAAACTGCCTAAATAACCAAGGCCGTATGTATTAAGTAAAAATGTTCGGCATCCCAAAATAATTTTATCCTAATTTTTAACCCTAACCTTAAATATTGATAACAAAATTATAATAAAAAATTATATGGTGTTCAACACCACTGGTGCGATTTATGATAATTGTAATTTTTTATTAATTAATTATAACACCATATATGTTATCTAACCTCGCTTTTATCTCTTGAATTTCCCGACGGCCATTCCACTAACAATCATTTTCTAGCACTTTCATTTACTCAACACTTGTATTTCCTCAACATTCTCATTTATTAAAAGTCCATGAGTACATAAATAATATTTGTTAATCTAAATATTTAAAGTAAGATATTAAGGTTCATAAATATTTACTATTTAATTTCATTTAATATACTGCAGTGAGCAAAAAATTTTTTTGTTTAAATTTAAGATCGAGTAAATAAATAACTTAAAGGTGAAAATGTAAAACGTGCCGGTTGTGAAAAATGTTCTCATTGTAATGAATATAACATGAGCAAAACATAGTTTAGATACGTATCCTGATAAGTAGGGTTGGGGGCACGGCAAATTTTTGGGCATGCCCTCTATAGATATATATATCATATATTATCGTAATTAGCAATAGTATGCTTTAATTCTAATTGGCTAATTATAGCTATATATTAAAGTCAAAATTTTACTTCAAGTACTTCATTTTACCATCATTACAAAGCATAAGCGTAACCACTGTATAGGCACTAACACTTTAGTCACATTGAAATTTGGGTACCAGCCCGGTGATTATATAGTCTTAATGTAATTATTTATTATTATAACCAATTATTATTTAATTTTAATAAATTTTTACTTTGTAAAGATATCAATCTCTACAAAATGAAAAATTTATTTAAAAAATTTTTTTTAATTTTTATTTAATTATTAATTAGAATTAGATTAAAATTTTTTTAATTTTTATTTAATTATTAATTAGAATTAGATCAAAATTTTATAATTTGTAAAAATATTTTCTTTTACAATATATTAAATTTGAATTAATAGATATTTAAATATTTGAATAAAAAGGCGCCAAATTTACCAAAAACAAAAATCAAAATAAATAATAGATTATGCTAGTATGTAATATAAAATAAAATAATATAAAGATTTAGATAAATTAAGGCCATAACATTTGTGGGTTTTAAAGTTATAAATCTAATTCATAGTTGTGTAAATATTTATACCACCCCCCTGCATTTCATTCACATCGTCTATTTTTTGGAAAGATTTTTTAGCCTTTATGCCAGGCTCATTTAATATCTGCATATTTGGTCCACTGGAAAATAAATTAGGTGCGACATTCCTAGTTAAAACATAAGCAGGTGTCCGATCACGATTTGTAATAAACGCCTCAACTATTATTTCTTCTGATATTTTATCAAGAGTCGTCAAAACTTCATCTGTTGTTGGACGTCTCTGCGGATCAATATCCCAGCATTTATTATAAAGCTCAGAGAAATTAGATGGTGTACCATGGATCGTATCTTGTCGATAACCTTGTAACATTTGAATACTTATGGCAATTCCATTGATAGCATTCTCAAATGGAGTAGTTCCACTAGTAAGCTCCCACAATATTACACCTAAGCTAAAAACATCCATTTTCTCATAACGTTTGGTTCCAGGCTGATAGAATAGTGGGTCAACATATGCTGACATGCCATGCGAAGTTACAAATGACGAGACAAAACTATCATTCAATTTTCTTGCTAAACCAAAATCCGCAATTAAGAATTTGCCATTGTGCATTAAAATATTTTTAGAATGCTAAATAAATTGAACTATTAATCTAGATACTTTATAATAAATGATAATAAATTATAAGGCAAATATTATTAATTTATTCTTACTAAATCACAATGAATTAAATTATTCTCGTGCAAAACTTTTACCCCGCGAGTAATTTGTCGTGCAATGTCGATAATTTCGTTTAATGGAATTTTAAAAGCATCATCATTCCATTTGCTTTTTAAATATTGCCGCAGGTTTTCTCCATTAGCAAACTGCAATACTAATATGAGATAACCATCATTGGGATCTAAGAATGTCATATGAAAAATATTATTTAAGGGATGTATGAAATATTTATTTAAGTATACAATATTATTACCCATTGTAATCCCATAAAATTGGTTAATATTAGGATGAAATTTCATAGCACGTAGTTGTTTAAGCTACAAAATTATGACTTATTAGATGTGACCAAACACTGGAAAATAAATACTAATGCATTACCTCATTGACAAATTCTTTAGTCGCCTCCTTAGTTTTAAGAGTTTTTAATGCAATCTTTTCTTCATCGTAGTCAGCCGAACTAATATGTCCAAACCCGCCTTTATGAATATTGAAGCTTGAAAATTAAATTTTATTTGTACCAGATAAGGAGCATTAAATAATTAAAAGGATCTTACCTTTTCCAATAATTTTAATATTTTTGAAACGAGAATACTCATAAAAGTCTATATTACCATTTGCTATTTCTTCATTCAACCATTTAGGGTATTTTTCTGACACATTTGACAAGACATTAGTTTCCTTTATAATGATGATACGAGAAGGATGTAACCTATTCTTGCATTGACATCGCTAACCACTTTTACCCTATAAATTTTCAGAATCTGAAATAATTCACATAAATATATATTATTTAATTGGAATCAAATCCAGCAATATGAATATTTGCTAGAAGAGTGTCTTACCAGAGATTATAATCCTTAAGACTAGAACCATATATAATTTATATAATATTCTTAATGATCTTATACTTACTCACTGGTAATTATAAGGTAATTAGAAGAGTATTAATGAACAATTTAAACCACATTTTAAGGAAACTCCATACTTTGTTATAAGCTTAAAGCTTGGCGACGTTCGGGAGGCATTTTCCAGGGAAGGATTATAAAGTTCTTGCAGTTTTTTTATAACAATTAAGCAAAATGAAGTATATCACAGAGAAGTTGATATTGAAAAATACTCGTATCATACCTTTCTTGAGATGATGACCTAAATATTCCCAAGAGGTTTGGCACGATTCTGTACAATTTGCTTCTTGCTGTATCGTATGGATAACATACCAGAATAAATTACATGAATTATATGCGGATTCTGGTGCCTCTTTTTCAAATAATGAATTGATTTCTTCGACTGAATGATTGGTGATCTCCAAGCAGATTTTCGTCCTGGACCTGAATTTATATCATTTTATCACTAATATGTGTGCCTATTTACGTATATCCATTAAACACAAATTCAATACATTACCATGAATGTAGAGTTACTTGAAATTTAGGATTAAATTGATTAAATTTTGTTGAATGAAATTTAAAGGAGGTTGCAATCATGTAATCTGGTGATAATGATAGCAACCCCACCTTTTCCATTTCATTCTTTATATTAATAATCTCAGGTTTTTGTTTATATGAAAGTGTAATATCGACCGTGCCGGTTAAAATCTGCGTATTTCTGGTTTTATTACTAAAATATTTAACAGACATCGGTTTTCCAACCAATAGCAAGTAGACCATTGAATCACTAAAAAAAAAAAAAAGTTAATTTGAAAACAAAGCATTGTAGTGAAAGAAATCTATACAAACTCTTCAATTGTTTCTTTTGATATCTCTTTGTTATCAACATCCTCAATAACAACGGAAAATCCAGAAACACTTAGCATTTGAAATCTTAAATTTAAATCCGGTCTCTTTAAATTATTTGAAACTATCGAACCAATAACTTGATAATTATCACTTTTTAGGAAAAAATCAAAGTCTACTTTATAATTTCGAACTTTATTATTTTCGAGCTTAAAATAACCATCCATCAAAACTCGCTCTTCATTACTTAGTAAACTTTCTATTTCCTTTTGCAAACCATCTTTAAGAAGTTTATATAAAGGTATAAATTGCATGCGGTTAATAATTTTCCATGAATCTGGTTTCTCAGAAATAGTATTTAGATACAGATCAATGTCATTTATATTGTTAATTTTAACTGTTGAATTGCCATTGGACAAATAAAACTTTGTTGAATCCATTTTATGTTGATTAAGGAAATTTTTCCATTCATCCAAAACCTTATGACAATTCGTTATTTTTTCAAATCCATTGCTTGTTATTTTTGTAAGGCTTTCCTGCTCAAGATGCGTAAATTCGTTTAGATTGGACAATCTTTCACCAACAGCTAAATTTAAACAAAAAACTTGTCCATATTCTTTAAAGATTTCCTCCAGATATTGGTATGGACTTTCTTCTTTTAACGCATTTTTAATAGCGTCTTCAAATTGCTTAGAAAGTCTAATTCCGTCTTTAGGGATGGTCAATAAGATTTGTTCATACATTATGTCACAATGAATGACATTTATGGGTAAAACATCAATGGTTAAGTCCACAAATGGGATACTATCTAATAAGCTCTGTGAACTGTTAAATATATCAATGTAATTCATCCTATATAATAAATCTTTTTGTGTTGCTACATATGAAATACTTAACATTTTTTTAGGTGAGTTAAGAAATTCGATAGAAGGCTCAAATGTTAATTCTATAGCAGGCTTTACACTGAGAGTAAACCCGCTTGAGTTAATCACTAATCCATGGTCTAATTGGTATTGTTGGATCCATTTTGGAATTTGCATATATATATTGCCACTGCCTAACCAATCTTTCATACTAATCTCTACATGATAAACTGAAATATCAGGTACAAGACGTTTGTCAAAGTATTCTGGACATGATTTTGCCATAGCAATTTCTTTACATTTC